TGCTCGTGTTTAGCACACCACAATCAACGCAGCAACATGTGTAAGTGGACTTTATTCAGTTTGTGGAAGGCATCGTGGCTATTTTTTACACACATATATACCTCGAACAAACTTTGAACAGTTTTACACACCTTCTAAATATAGCAGGCCAAAGGTAAATGCAGAATGAACTCTGAAGGCTTTAGGGCAAAAAAGAAAATCATAGGTGAATTAAATCTTGTAGGGTTGTAAATACGGCAAGTCCTCCTAAGACATGCTACTAAAATACGACTGTATATGCAGTTAAAATAATAAAAATTGAAAACGAACTGTTATAGTCTACATGTAAAAGCAGATGTGGAACATTTTATAAGATTTAAGGAAAAATGATTACATGTTTGATTTAATAGTGTACATCATTGTGTAACGCATAGACATCAGTACAGTACTTAATCACACAACTTCCATTGTAAGTTGAAGGTGCTCTATTTCGACTGACATCTACAATGTGGTCTAAATATTATTTCTTTCTCAGCATTTATAAATCAAACCTGTATGTGATGATAAAACCCCTCATAACAGAAATATCTCAGCATGTTAGGAAGTATTTAATGAGCACATAGGAGTCATACTATTGTTATTCAAAAAAATCCAAAGTTTTAATTTCACGACCTTACACACCTACGATTATGGAACTAATAAATGTGAACTGAAGGTGACAAGCGTGCTTGCCTTTTTCTTAAAGTAGTGCCATTCAAGATGATAGTGCCGGGGTTTAATTGTTTGGTTCACACCACTATCAATAGTGTTTTAAGATAATTTGAATGCCTTTGTTTGGTGACAGTTTACGTGTATGCGCAGCTGAGTGTGAACTCAAGAGAAAGATTAAATACAATTATAAGCGTGGGGCAATGGCACAGTGGTTTCATTTTTTATGTTTCCAGTGATGTTCGTGAACAATTTATGTATTGCAAAAATAAATAACACAAGTTAAATTAATTCAATAACATACTATTACACTTTTCAAATTAGAAAATAAAACACTGCACATAATTTAATATATTGTGTTTATCCAAAAATATTACGTATTTCCAGGGTAAATTATAATGAAAATAATTTACAGCTCTTTGTCAATTTTCTGCTAGATGAAACCCTCCCATGCCTTGTTAGTCATGGGGGTTGTGTGACCATAACATCTGCTGCACTACATAGTGACAGAACAGCGAATATGGCCCCATGTCCTTGGCACCAGAACCTATAATACCATGGAGCTGATCTGCCAACTGACCATCAGCTGGTCATCTGTAAGATGGGCCTGTCATTCTTCCACCGTGGTAGTGGGTGTCCACCTCGGACCGCATTCAAATCCACAACAGCCTGGTCTAGGCTTCCTGATGAAGGTTGCAAGCGCAAATTTTCATCATTGCTTGCAGATGGGGTTGGCACCGTCCCATCCCCTCCTTCTGATGCCAAGGGGAAGTTCAAGACTGTGACTCATGCAGCTGCTATGGCTGTTTTGGGGACACGGTCCAAACCTCCTCAGAAACTCTGCCTGACGGAGGAGGTGTTCCGGCAAGCTTAAAAAAATAGCAGCAGGCCTACTCCCACCGTCTCCAACATTCCACTTCCGAGAATTAGGTTTACTGTAGCTTTCGCTTGGAGGTTCGGAAAGCTGTATGTCACTGCGAGGATAAGTGGTGGTCATGGGTTGCTCATAAAATGAATCTGCCTCAGTCACGCACAATCCAAAATGACTATTAAACTCCATCAAAAGAATGACTTGCAGAATCACACCTATTATCATCCTTAAGGAAAATAATGGTGATCTGATCTCTGACCCCCAAGAACAGGTTTTCTGAGCATTTCTGAGGCAAGATGGGGTTGACCTTTCTGGAGTTGCGATACATCAAATATTAGAGGAATTAGCCACCCTCTGTGAGTGGCTGGCTGACGTGCCATCTGTTTATGAAGTTCGAAAAGTGATCCAGAGCCTGAGACCAGATCTAGGACCAGGCCGAGATAACCTCTCAAGCGAAATGCTAAGACAGGGTGGCATTTGTGTGCAAGCTGCCCTATATGACATCATTAAAATCGTCTGGTCCACAAGACATGTTCTGCAGGATTGGAAGGATACCCTGGTGGTCCCCATTTTTAAGAAGGGGGACTGCACTGATTGTAACAACTATTGGGGCATATCCCCAGTGTTCCGGGAAATATTCTGGTAAGTAGTATTCAACATTGCCTTGCCAAGCAGACTGAGAAGAGGCTTGTGGAACCTCTATGTGATTTCAAACTGGGCCGGTATTGGATGGACGCCATATTCCCTGTCTGTTTGCGATAGGAGAGGGGTAGGACATTTCATCAGGACCTACATCTTTGCCTTATTGACCTGGTTAAGGCCTATGATATATCAATAGGCCAGGGCTCTCGGTTATTCTTTGTGGTTTTGTGGTCCCTGACCTGCTCACAATCATTAAGGCCCTTCATGATGGTGGGCAGGCCTGGTTAAAGCTGAGCGGCAGGGACTTGGAGCTATTTTCTGTTCACATTGGGGTGTGACAAGGATGTCCTCTATCTCCTTCACTATTTGACATCTTCTTTGACCACGTAGTTTGTGACGCTTTCCATGGCTGTACCAAAGGAAATTCCATATGAAGAGAGGTCGCGAGGCGTGAGTGAGGGGCCTGGGCAGGCTTTGGGTTAGGGTTAGTGAGAGCTTGGGAGCCAGGATAGAGGAGGGGAAACCATGACACACGAGAACACTTCATAAATGCGATGCACTGAGAAGAAAAGAGACATGCAAGATGGTGGAGGCGAGACCGGAGAGTGGGCTAATACAATTATTTCGCATCATATTCTTCACATAATGGACACATTATGCAGACCACATTTAGACAGTGTAGCAACATGAAATCACATAACCTCCAAAAGTTGATTTCTTTAGTGAGTCTTCCAGTGGCACAATACATCTTATGAAAGAGGCCATGAGGTGTCCACCATCTTAGGGCGATCGATGCTATCTTGAGAGAGGGGAGGAAATTGTAGGAGAGGAGAAGCCATCTTAGGAGACGAGAGGTGATCTGTTGTGGGAGGAGGATGGGTTCTCAAGATGATGATGAAAACGTGCTGCTCCCACCCTCACCAAAAAATTCCTGAAAACATGCAAAGTTGTCAGAAGAATACAGGAGACCTGCCCAGAGAAACTGACAACTGTGGAGGCGCTGGTTCACTTTTGATAGCGCAACTGCTGACTTTGGAGGAGACTCTGAGACCCAGTGCCTCGTGGTGAACCTTGCACTTCCCTGAACCTGCCTGATGAGTCTCAACCGACAGTGGCAGTATGTTCAAGAGCTAAATGACAATTTTGATATCTACTCGGGAAAAGAGGGCTTCAGGATTCTAGATTTGAAGCTTTCGTGACTGCAAGGATTCATATTCAACCATTATATATACAGAGTGGTAGCTCTTGCAATCTCTCATTTACTTGATACAGCTGTCGTGGCTGTGACGGTTCCACCTGAAGACGGAAGCTCGTGTTGCCTCCGAAACGTCGTGATTTTTATTGTATTTTACTTTTATTAATTTTAATGTTTTACCTACGTGACTTTACCGAAAAAACCTAAGAATAGGGCTTCAGGAGATAATTTGTGTAGTGTTGCTATTCCTCCTTTGAAGGAGCTCAGACTACACGTTTACGATATAGTGCATAGTTTGGGTTCACCTAGCTGATGGTATTATAAGGGTAACAAAAACATGTCACTGGTGGGCTTCGAGAAGGCTACCGTCTCCCATCTTCTGTCGAGATTTATCTGCCAACACAGGATTGCTCCACCTTTCAACCACCAAGTGTTGTCTTATCAAATACAATGCACATCACCTTGTTTTGTACATTGCTGAGCGTAGCATTTAAAAGTATAGAGATACAGAACTGTTATCCATCGTGATATGTGAAACTAATATTATGGATCAAATTGTTCGTGCGGTTGTCCATGATTCTACTCTTCTTATCCGCGGAGTGAAATATTTACAGTTAACCCCATAGCTAATAGGATAGTTTTGCCCACAACTCCTCTTATCCAACGGAAAAACGTGCGTGTTTTTTACATTTGGACAAACGCAACGGAGACTTTTTACAACTTGTACTCTTGTTTTTTTACATTTAGACAGTGCTAATTCATAACGGGAGGTGATCGTTTCCAAATCTCCAACCTTCCCCTCACATATAAGTATATTTGATTGATTTAGGGGTATTTGTGAATTGTTTACGATATACACACTTGTGAAATTAAAGCATGTGCACTGGATTCGACGACTGGAAGTCAGCCATTGCACTGAATCTTTACCATGTTTATTTGTATGCGTTACCAGTCATTATTCCATTTGCCTTGTTAATTATGTAGTATATTTACACGAAGAGCCCAGTCGTCAGTGTTAACATCAACATTTATTTAACATAGGGTATGGCTGAGAGCATGTGTAGGTTGTGTAATGAGATATTAACTATCTTGCTTGGTATACAGAAGGTCGTGGGTTCGATCCTGACCCTGACGCCTGTATATTTAGAGTTTGCATGTTTCTCTCCCTGTGGTCACTTGGATTTTTCTCTGGTTCCTCCGGGTTTTCTCTCCACATATTTAGAAACGTGCGTTTAGAGTATTTGTCTGCTCTAAATTTCCAAAAGATAAGCCACTTCGTTGAGCTGTCATTTGTGGCCAGGTTACTTCTGAAAAAAAGCTTTATATCTCTCTGGGCCTTACCTCATAAAATTAAAATGTTTTAGTTTAGTTAAAAGTATGGTCCAAGATATGTATAGCAGAACATATACATGCTTAAAAATAAATACTTGTGAGATCGAATGAGAAAATATGCAAATTACGATTATAACTGTCACGTGTTCGAGGCTGAACAACGATCTCGTCAGCAATAGGCTGAGGCTTTTTTGTTATCTTATCTGATAACGAAGTTGACGGTTAGGTTCACGACTATATAAGCATGGCTCCTTTCAAGCCATCTCAAGAGCATAGGGCAGTTGGTTTGACCACTGCTTCTGGAATAAAACACAAGATAGCAAATACAGCACAAGTTCTGCAGGCTATAGGATAATTAAAAACGAAGTATTTTTTTTCCTTTACAACATTTAAGTTATTTGTTTTTATTTGCGAGATGGGCTGCCGAACGCTGACCGTTTTCATCAGTGGCCTTTTGGTCTTGGCTGCATCAGGTAAGTCCCAGAGCCGGGAAAATCGAACAAATTAAACCAGGGACTGTATGCATACCTGTCAACAGCGTTGGTCGCAAATAGGACTGTATATGGAATTCATAATGTAATTTCATAATACTGGTAGCATGACTAATTTAACACTGTGCGCAGTACACCGTTTATAGTAGTTTAGACAAACGTCAAATCGTTTTTTTCCCTTTTAACATGCAGCATAAAACACGATTGCTCTGCTTTTAATATTTTACATGATGTTAAGCACTTCTGTATGGTTACATTTAAAACTAATGTAAATGCAGGTAAGGATTGGACACAAACGGCATGGTCCTCTATGTCAGAGTGGATATATCATGGATTTCATATGGATTGTTGGATGTTTAATAATAAGTATTCGAGCGTGTTCCAAGTTGGATCTTGGCTGTTGTAATCAACAGTAGTGTATGGCAATGTTATTGACGAAAACATTGAGTTTTTTTTATTGTTATTCGTGCTTGTGCACCACTACTGACGCAGTATCGCGATACATTTTGTTCGTGCTTATCGGCATATTGTGTTTTCATTATTTAGCGCAGTATTTAAAAAGCAGTTTAACACGTAGGCTTTCGTGACCAATATTATTCATAATAAATATGTTTAGGGTTAGAGCGCGCAAGTATAAATGTGGTGCTAACCCGCCACCACCCGACACAGCCAACCAGTAAGGTTTGTCATGTAAACAAAACGTGCCAATTAGTTATTACTTCAGCACACCGGTGTGTTGAAGAGTAAACCCATAGCATTCACAATTTTAGTACAACGTTTCGCTGGTCATTACAACCAGCTTCATCAGGCGATATGCCAGAACTGTGAAGAAGTCTTCCTGTTTTGGTCTTAAATAGAGAAAGGTGATGTCATCACTGTGAATCTTTCAGGTGCGAAGACCAGAGGGGGATTCATGTAGTCAGAATCAGAATATTTATTTATAGCGGAGAAATCCGATGAGCTATAAAGCTCTTTTTTTAAATGTCCAATAGGGGTGGGTAAGAACGTTACAAAAGCAAACAATTCAATAACACGATAGTGGTCATATACGTTACAACATTAATAAAGGATTATGTTAATCTGAGAAAATGTAGTACTTGTTAACGGTTCGGTTATTTCATAAGCACCCCTACCCTGCTCTCCTTTGCTTTTTCATTTAACCGTGATGATCTTGATCTGCCTTGACAAACTGCCCTAGGGATACATATTCTTATGTGTTTTCCAGGTGTAGCACTCTAACAATTGTATTCTCTTCCTGAGTGTACCTGTTGTACATGCATTTTGTTTTGATCGCATTTATGCTTATACGTCTTCATTAAGTTCTTCAATCATCTCCAATTCCATTGGTTGTTTTGACTGTCATCAGCAAATCTCAGGTGGCTCGTATTTGATTGATTTACGTTTCTGCCTTATTATTTCGAATAACATTTTCATCAAACTTCTATCGCTGTGAATAACTTTGGTGAACATAATGATACAATAGCGGGCACAAAAATGAATAGTCCGTTGAAAGTGTGGGGGAAAGATTAAAAATAAAACAGAGAACAGTTTATTTGAAACCAAGAAAGATATGATGAAGAGGAGAGATATGAATAAAATAGAGGCTCAACAATTTTTTTTTTCATACAGAACAATATAGACCGCTATAGACTGATTAGGACATTATTAAATATCTGATAGCAAGCAATGGGAACATGAAATCAGAAAAAGGTAGGTTGATTACTAGCAATTAACAAATGTTAGAGCTTATGGTGAAAGATAGAATGATAACAAAAGAAAGAGACTGAAATTTAAAATGTAAAGAAAAATGTAATAAGTTATTTACAGAAAAAAATATCCCGGGAATCGACATTTTTCACGTGAAATTTTAATTCCAAATGTCACACCTGAAAAAGTAAACTGCCCTTAACAAAATGAAATAATTGGAGAAAATTCGAGAACTGGTTGACAAAATGTTTACACGATTGCACATTAACGAAATAGCTCAATACTGTATCATTTTATTTTTAAAAGGTGATACATTATACTTGACATACACACTTATAGCACGCATATGAATAATTGATGACCAACCAACTACACGAACAAGCCTGGTTAAGAAAAGCTTTCACTATCATCGGACACACACATAATATTAATCAGATTTTGGAAAAAAATTACGATGATCAAAATATCATTATACCTACCCTTTATAGACTATCAAAACGCATATTACTCCGTGGAAATTGATGCAGTCATCGAAGGCCTCCTCACCAGCGGCTTATGGATAGCCATTGGACAACGACGGGTACTGCATCGCGGGCTTTCAGATGCGCTTCTGTGGCTGTCTTGGAACGCCTTTCCCATATTAGGAAGCCACTGGAGCTATGCATTTTTAAATCTAGATTGAAAAATCATTTCATGAGAACTGTTTTTTTGTGTTTAGTTTGTTGTCTTTCTCCTACACCTCCGATTAGCATGGTTGGCTACGTATGGTGCGAGATAAAATATTTTAGAAATAATAAAACTGAATTACTAAATTGGAACTACACTCAGCTATTATGAAAAAAGTAACAAACGAATTACAATATAAGGGAAGCTAGATAAGGAGACACTTTTACCCACGGTATTTGAATCAACATTAGAATGTGTGTGATAATATGCCATACATTATTAATATATTGCCATATTACTACAGAAATTATATAAACTATTTATTTATATATTTCTGAACATTGCAACTACTCGTGGAAAATACATTCTAAGGTTTAATAAAACAATCATGTCGGTTTGTTAAGTTACTACAGTGCAGTAGCTACTTAAAATAATACAATACATTTATTGCAACGTTTTAATTAAAAAAAATTGTTTTTGTCCATGCGCCTCCACAACAACTAAACCAACAGGCACCATCCCAACAACTAAATCACCAGGCGCCACCCCACCAACTACTCAACCAGGCACCACCCCACCAACTACTCAACCAGGCACCACCCCAACAACTACTCAACCAGGCACCACCCCAACAACTAAACCACCAGCTGACACCCCAACAACTAAACCACCAGGCACCACCCCACCAACTACTCAACCAGGCACCACCCCAACAACTAAACCACCGGCTGACACCCCAACAACTAAACCATCAGGTGCCACCCCACCAACTACTCAACCAGGCACCACCCCACCAACTACTCAACCAGGCACCACCCCAACAACTAAACCACCAGCTGACACCCCAACAACTAAACCACCAGACGCCACCCCACCAACTACTCAACCAGGCACCACCCCAACAACTACTCAACCAGACACCACCCCAACAACTAAACCACCAGGTGACACCCCAACAACTAAACCACCAGGCACCACCCCACCAACTACTCAACCAGGCACCACCCCAACAACTAAACCACCAGCTGACACCCCAACAACTAAACCACCAGACGCCACCCCACCAACTACTCAACCAGGCACCACCCCAACAACTACTCAACCAGACACCACCCCAACAACTAAACCACCAGGTGACACCCCAACAACTAAACCACCAGGTGACACCCCAACAACTAAACCACCAGGCGCCACCCCACCAACTACTCAACCAGGCACCACCCCACCAACTACTCAACCAGGCACCACCCCAACAACTACTCAACCAGGCACCACCCCAACAACTAAACCACCAGGTGACACCCCAACAACTAAACCACCAGGCGCCACCCCACCAACTACTCAACCAGGCACCACCCCAACAACTACTCAACCAGACACCACCCCAACAACTAAACCACCAGGTGACACCCCAACAACTAAACCACCAGGCGCCACCCCACCAACTACTCAACCAGGCACCACCCCAACAACTACTCAACCAGACACCACCCCAACAACTAAACCACCAGGTGACACCCCAACAACTAAACCACCAGGTGACACCCCAACAACTAAACCACCAGGCACCACCACAACAACTAAACCACCAGGTGACACCCCAACAACTACTCAACCAGGCACCACCCCAACAACTAAACCACCAGGTGACACCCCAACAACTAAACCACCAGGTGACACCCCAACAACTAAACCACCAGGTGACACCCCAACAACTACTCAACCAGGCACCACCCCAACAACTAAACCACCAGGTGACACCCCAACAACTAAACCACCAGGTGACACCCCAACAACTAAACCACCAGGCACCACCACAACAACTAAACCACCAGGCACCACCCCAACAACTAAACCTCCAGGCACCACCCCAACAACTAAACCACCAGGCACCACCACAACAACTAAACCACCAGGCACCACCACAACAACTAAACCACCAGGCGCCACCACAACAACTAAACCACCAGGTGCCACCACAACAACTAAACCAGCAGGCACCACCACAACAAGTAAACCACAAGGTACGTCCAAGACAACAGCTCCTGGATCACCTACACCAGATAGTGCATCATCCATCACATCATTGCCTACAAGCAAGTCAAGAACTGCATCTACCACATCAAAGACAACATCTGCACATGTATCTGCACCAACCACAGCTTGCAAATCACTCACGTCATCTCTGGATCACCAACAACTAATCCACCAGTCACCTCCACAACATATTGTAACACTACTGTATAAACTTCAAAGGAAATATCGTTTTTCACGTATAATAGTGCATACATAAAAAGTACAGAATTCTTGTTATCCACGGTGATGTAGGAGACTAATATCGTGGATCCTATTATCCGCAGCATTATCTGCAAATTTCACTGCACTTGTCCACGGGAAAATAATTGTGTATAATCGCGGATAGTTGCATTAGTTTGCAACTCAACTCCTATGATCTGCAAAAGAATGCTGATAAGAAACGGTTCCAGAAAGCATAATGACAACCTTTTTGGATAATCACGTTTACAGTAATAGGAAAAATATGGTGGCTGGTAATAGTTTTCATGGACCCAATGGCTCCTGCAGATAATAGGGGTTGTGGGTCTATGGACACACATGCAGTTGCATACACACATTTCAATGCATTTACTGGACAGTGTAATGTAAAGTATGTGCATACAAATAAAACTACTTTTTTTGTTTCATATCGAAGTTGATCCATGCAAAGTCCAGCCTCCACCATGCCCTTCATTGGCCAAGTGCTTTAGCAACAACGATTCGTTCCGATGCGAATGCCCTATAGGATATTACGACGACGAAACTTCCAAGGCATGCGTTGTCGGTAAGTCAATGCTTCATCAACATCACATCGCCAACACATCATTGCCTTCACATTACAGTATTCTTTATTTAAGCGACGTTAATGTCTCTCTGTTCAAATGTGCAACTTCGTTGGTAGCCATCAGGCAGTGGTGGAAATTCCACATTCCTTTGGCAGGGGCCGCCTCTGCAATTGGCAACCACTAATGATTTCCAACACCTTTACTCTTGTAAATGATCCCAGATGCATGATGGGTTTAGTTCGACACCTGGCCAGGATTTGAATTCACAACCTTCCCATTGCAGTACAGTATTTCGAATGTGGGGTTTATGTTTCGGAATTGTGTGTTTTAATTGTACTTTTATGTCCTAACATTGTGTTCACCACACACCACAGCAAAGACATATGGTTCGAGTTTACACATTTCGAAAGAATTTTCTGATCAAATGAAGGACCCAACTTCAGAAGAATTCAGAAGCATTTCCATACCCATTCTAAATATGGTAAGTAAAGCAGGCTTTATGTCTTCTCATTGAGTTTTTTCTTTCAAATTACTTATTGTAAAGAAAATGAATTTTATTTCCATGAGACTTGTATGCAAACTCAAATACATAAGTTACTTAAATAGCACGTCAAAAACTATGGTAATATCGTGTATGCAGAGAGGTGTACATGTTTTGCACACAGGCTTCTTGTGTACATCGGCTCAAAAAAGTCGCCTTATCCCGAAGCTGCTAAATAAAAATGCCACAATCGCGGTGGTGTTTTGTTGTTGTTAACTGGTAGCCAGTGCAGAATATGCAACAACAACAAATGGTGGCGTCATCTTGGCATGCAAAGCAAGCTCTCTTGCGTTTTTTTGCAGTAATGTACACTGCAGGCTGCAATTTATCTTTCCTTACAATTGTGTTAACAACACAGATAGACAATATCAGCTTCCTAAATGATTAGTGATGTGGGTGTGTTGTGCTGCACATTCGTTAAATGAATCCTGTAAAATGCAGCATTACAATTTATAGTTTATACAAAAATTAAGTCAGCTTTTGACGAGTCAGAGCAATTGCAATGTTCATTTTAAAGTTAATAACTAGAAAATAACCTGAAGTGACAACATACAGTACTAATCTGGTCAATTTTATTCAAAAATGTCGAGGTTTTTAAATCGATACTGTACATATTTCTACTGCAGCTCAATTCAACTTTTGGAGGTCGTTCAGATTATAAAGGATCTGCAGTCATCAAACTAAGGTGAGTGATCACTCTGTACCAGTCACACTACAAATACAAAGATCCCCCGTGCAGCCTTAAACTGTTGGGGGGGCAAGTGCTGTTAGCGAGCAGCACCTATGAAGGCCACCCTGGCATCTTCTTGGTTCTTTCGGTAAAGTCACGTAGAAGGGAAGTAATAAAATAATAAAGATAAAACATAATAAAATAATTCTCACGACGTTTCGGCCACAACGCAAGCAGCCGTCCTCAGGTGAAGACCAGGTCTGTCGGGGAGACCAGGTCTGTCGGGGGGACAGCGTCTGACGCTCAGGTGAAGACCACGTCTCCCCGACAGACCTGGTCTTCACCTGAGGACGGCTGCTTGCGTTGTGGCCGAAACGTCGTGAGAATTATTTTATTATGTTTTATTTTTATTATTTTATTACTTCCCTTCTACGTGACTTTACCGAAAGAACCAAGAAGATGAATCCCTGCAGTCACGAAAGCTTTAAATCGAAATTTAAGCCACCCTGGCACTTTGGCACACGAAGGGCCGTGGGTGGCCAACACCACGCCCAGCCGCCGTTGCCTATCCCAGTGGCGATGTTTACTACACACCGCACCAGGCACTCATTCGAGGCCGATTCGACCCAGGGGAGGGCCGAGGACCTGTTCGGATAATCGCTATCACTGGCGTTGGCCGTGAGCAGGAATCGAACTCGGGTCTCTGCCGGGTTCATAGCGCAGCAGCGCGCTAACCGCTGCACCACCGCTCCCCAAAAAACAACCACGCACAGCACCTGCGCGCTTGCTCCATTCAATCTTCACGAGCAACATCAGTTGTCTTAAGTTCTCTAAACTAACACTGTCGTCTCTAAACGTGTTCTCCACAGAAGTGGCAGCGTCTTTGCAGAGGTTGTGAACATGTTTGATACAAATTCTGACGTAACAGAAGAGTTTGTTTCATCAGAAGTCAACGAAACGATTACGTTATGTACAGAAAGTAGTATATGTGGAAATTTGCCCATTTTGTCAGCAAGTAAGTGAACGATTGCTTATCCTCAATAAGACATTTTTTAAGTACAGTACACATGCCATATAATAATAAAATATTAAATGTGCAGGAGTGTATAATATGTTTGATTGGCCTTAATAATGTTTGATATGATCACAACCTGAATACTGTTCAGTCACACAACCAGTTGTCCGTGACACAATTATCCGTGAATTAGTTTTTATCGCAGTTGGCAAAACCCGGTTCTCTCTTCCAAACATCCGGGGAGCGTGGCCATCCAAATATCCAGGGTCCAGACCACAGATAAATGGACTTGTTGTCAAATTCTTACAAACTATCATTTTTTGACCGTCCAAGGACGGGTGCATATTGCAGTAAATCTGAAATATTCAATAGAAAAAGTGTTGAGCTCATGATTATTAATGAGGGGGAAAGTTGCCCAATGTGGAGTGCCGTCACCCGCTAATGGTTATTGGGGAGGGGTGCGGCATGTTATTGGGGAGGGGTGCGGCATGTTATTGGGGAGGGGTGCGGCATGTGCAGTGACGTCACCCCCTCATGGTTATTGGGGAGGGGTGCGGCATGTGGAGTGACGTCACCTGCTCATGATTATAAATGAGGGAGGGGTGCGGCATGTGGAGGGCGCGACCTTCTTGTGCGTTAGTGTAAATTTCCACGTAGGTATGAATATTAATGAAGGGGGGGGGGGGCTCTTTTGCAGTGACGTCACGCACGGATGTAGCACTGTGCTGCGCAAATCTATTTTTTACCGTCACTTTCTGTAAAGAAACGTCATATTGAAGCGACTGTGTAATACATTCTTTAATTCAGCTCGACCTTCCCTGCGTTAGTGTAAAAATCCACCCACTCATGAATATTAATGAGGGGGTGGGCCTCATGTGGAGTGACGTCCCGCGCGGGACGGACAGACTTTTCTGGATGATTATTATAGTAGGTAATTCCCTGGGGTTATCTGCCCCTGGGACCAGCTCCTGATACCACCAAATCACGTATGGGGTACAAATGCCAATGCAGCGCTTTTTGCGCTACGTTGTTGAGATGCTTGTCCTTCAGGCTCTCAAAATACTGATGGCAAGCAGAGCTCCTTTTCCCATACTTATCCATTTGAAGAAATGTGTACAATTGCAGCAGCAGCATCCTCACGACTATAGAACACTAAAATTGTACTGCACTGTATTTCTTACGTGAAAAAGAACAGCCACTCGAAAGACATGAATTAAAAACACCGTCACTATAACTGAAGTGCAACTTTTTTTTAATATATATAAATATTACTACGTGTTATTGCACTTTCAAAATTTCAGATCCGCAACAAATATTTGTCATGTGTAATTACTTGCATGTCGCTATACAGGTGTAATGTCCACGTGTGCACATGATGCGTGCGACTCAAACACATCTAAGTGCGTGGAGGAAAATGGTTTTACGCAGTGCAAGTGCCTCTCTGGGTTTATACAACAAGAAGGATATGCACGTTTATGCTCAGGTACAGCAACGCCTATTGCGGCTCGCATTACAGTAACATTTTTATCAAGAAATTGCAATTTTTTTACCTTGTTATGAAACCTGCAAAAACACTTTTTTTATCTTCACAGTTTGCCCCATTGACTTCAAGGAGGAAAAAGGAAAATGTGTCAAGTAAGAGTTGGGACCCTCTAATCTCTTTTTTTTCAATGAGACGCTTTACTGTGCTACAGAACTCATCTTGCCCGTCTTGATATGGCGTACACACATGGTGGATCCTATTACCCATAGGGTTATCCAGCAATGGACTTCACTCGTCAGTATGAAAAAGTCAAATAATCACGGATAACTGGAATAATTTTCTACAGGAATCCACTTATCCATGGACATTTTGGAAATATTTAATACGCTGTAAATAACGGCAGATAACATGACGATTATAGCCCTGGGAATTGGAGTTTTCAGGGACCCTACAGCTTTCATGCATAATAGGAGTCGTGTGTAAAAGGGTTGTGGATAATAGGCGTTATATATGTATATACATGAAGGTTAATTGAGGTTCTATAATTGTATAATATATTCTATAGGACTAATGTTATTGTATAAAATTACAATACATATATTTCTGTACAAAGTACAGTATTTAAAATGTAATAATTGTTTCATAGCAATGGCACTACTCAGTCTGGACTCAAGGTATTTTTTCTTCATTAAAAATATCAACGCAAAGTGTGCATTGGTCAGTGCTCATTAGTGTCTCTTCCTTGGAAACTGACAGATTGGAGAAGATTCTCTCTCACTCTCCCCAAATTAGACCAAATTTAACTTCTCACAAAGTGATACTGATTTTATTGACCCCGAAAGGATGATGAATCGAGAGCAAGCCCAGCCTAGATTGTAATCCCCAGCCTTACAATTTAGTTACAATCATGAACCAGATTTCAATGCAACGCACTACAATGTAGAGTTTTGTACCAATGCAATTATGTCATTCCACGGTAACACAACCATGTACACAATATTTACGTGAAAACTCACGAATGACAGATGGGCATACGAACACTGATAAAAGGCATACAGGGAGTGCACCCTAAAGGTGCATTTCCCAGCTGAGAAATTTGTTTTGCAACTAAATCGCTATGGAAATCTGACAAATTAATTGCCTACGTATATGTGAACACTGCGACATCGTGTCTGTTCGCGTTTAGTCCACTTAAGAATTTCAGTTGCATGCAGCCACGTTGCACAGTTGTGGATGACCAGTTAGCAATGTTAAGTTGTAAATGTAACAAGTTGTTTTCGCCATCGTGAATTGCATTGCTTAATATTGTGTCTAATCTGCAGGTGTCCGAGTATGGCCTCTGGATACAACTGCATGATCTGCGCAGACGGCTACAAAAATGAAAATGGAACATGCAGGCCGTAAGCCCTTTACTACGAGTTTAATTCATTTAATGGACATCATACATTACATTGTTATATTCTTATCGATCTAGTATGAATACAATAATAAGTTACTGTAGTTTTTTATCCAGTATTGTAGCAATGGATCAAGAAAGTGTTTTCTATAAATGCAAGCAAATTGGAGTGTTATTATGTACATGAGCTGTGTTAAATTATCATCTGATACTGTATACGTTAGTTTCCAATACAGTCGTGTTAGCAGAAATAAGTGGTACAGTACAATGCTCATTTTCCACTTTCACAATCATAAGTTTAAACGTAGCTATCGTTTTCCCAACTTGGTTTGTGGGTAACAAACAGCCAACGAATGGTGTGATAGTTATGAACGGGGTGTAACTGTATACTTGTTAAAGTGAAATAATTCTGCTTCAACGTCCGCGTCATTATTTCACCGTAAAGAGAGCTGTCAACTAAAATATGCTTACTGTGTCACAGGTGTTCCTTTGGCTACAATGGGAAAAATTGCCAGGATGGTGAGCAACACACACCTAAAACAACACACACGCATCTAAAACCATATTATAAGCGTAGGAGTTTTACGTATTCGGAGAACCCACCAAGTTGTTCTGGTAAATATTATAAATAAAACAAGTTTAAATGTGATATTTGGGATGTCCAGAAGAGCACTGATTAAATGGTAAAAGCACATCCCTGGCAACATATTTTGTATTAATCTGTTGTATGTTGGAGTATGTCATTTGACATAGCTATGAACTCGTTTTTAACAGTACTGTAGTGTTGGATGATAAGAAGCGTTTGCTAAAGTGAACACAAAAACCTAAGTGTTTAATTTTACCTCAGTTACGGAATACATAACATTGTCGTCTGAAGAATGTTTTTATTATTATGACCAAAGAAGCCACTAAATAAATAAATTGCTTCCATTGCAGCATAGAAAACATCACACAGGACGCTAGGCTGCATTGTTTTCATTTTCCTACGTAACAAGCCTTAAGTTAAAGAGAAGCATGGCAACCCTAGATATGCCCCTGATATTTCTGCCTATATTACCTGCGACCGGGCACCTGGAGCCTTGATGGTAAAGCACAGAGTGCTTTGTGTTTTGATGACATTGGCGTGCCCTAACTTGATAACTGGTATCGCATCGTCCACCTGTGTAGGCTCTCTCCTGGCACTGGTGATCGTGGCTGTTTGCTGTGGGGTACTGATACTCGCCTTGGGAATCACATTAATCGTGACGTATATCAGGTGAGACTTGGCTGTGTGTTTTCAATTAATTTTGTGTGCTCTAACTTCTACGATATAACTAACTGCTCAAATACTGTAAAAAATGTAATTGTTTGAACTTATCAATACTGGCAGATCGGTCTCTACTAGAGGGATCACTTGAGACAGATATCCCTCTAGAGAATACTTTGGCCTACTCTTCGATGGCGGCCAGATGTTTTGGAAAAGATGGGAGTACCGATACTTTGCTCCACCACATGTGAACTTCCAATCGACTAAGTGTGGTGTACCATTTATACTGCTGAAATACTATGAATGTCTACAAATGTATAAAATGTTTACTATAGCGCCCATGAAAATGTTAATTATTGTACTTGCATGCCTTTGAAAGCTACCTTCAATAAAAGTGAGTATCTTATTTGTTTTCTTGTGTAGGAAAAGGAAAGGAAAGGGATACAGCGATGATGGAAACGATGCCACACCAACACTTGGATATTCACATATGTAAGTTTTCCACATAAATTATCATTAAAGTCCAAACATATATTCTTAATATCTACAGATCTGTGTAAATCACAGGTTGAAATGCCTGTTTCAAGTGCAGCCTCTTAATCGTGCCCTCATTTGCAGGAAATTTAATGCAATGGAAAGCAGTGAAGAGAAAGTCAAGTCCAAGTCAAAATTGTGGTATTCAAATGTCTTCAGTTCCACGAATCATTATAGAAAATATACGTTTTATATGCCATACCTACATTTTCACTATATTAAAGTTGGATTTTCCTTCCATAATGACAGCTTCTTAATTGTATTCTTGTGCGCAGGAAAAAGAAAGAAAAGGTTGCAGATATGGACGGCAATCCACCTTCAGCTCTGTATGACTTTTACACGGCGATCCCAAGAGTTTCTGCTAAAGTAGCGAGCGAGTCCTTCAATCATGCTCAGGTAATATAGCTTCCCTTGTCAATAGTTTGATCACCTTTTCAATAACCTGTATCTGTGGTGTTTGCCTGTTGAGATTACCAAAATCTATCATAATTGTAAAACATTGTTATAAAGGGCAACAGGTAAAGGTGCCACCCTGCAATTACGGTAAGGCCTCGGCATCTGCGAGGTTTAGGTTATTAAAAATCTGCACGAAAGTATAATTTGCGAATGTATACACTATATTTATTTTGGAGAAAAGGAGGTTAAGTTCCTGTTTTTGACTGAACATACGGGAGAAATTTTAAATGTTTCATAACATTATTTCTGTACTGTACACGTAAATAACATTCATATACTCAATTAAATTGTAAAATAATACACATAGTTAATAACACAAATAAAAAACAACAAATAAAAAATTCTGCCTTCAATTTGGAAGTAAAATTTTACCTTGGATGATCATTATTATGGGGATTTATGATCATACTACTTTGGCAGTCATCGGTGCACTTTCCGCCACACTTTCCGCCACACTTTCCCTAATTGCCTCTTCGTTTTTCTTTATACATCTGACTGTTGACTTGTTTATCATGTAATAGCGGCCAACAGTAGACGCACTATCACCACGAGCAAGTTTCTCCAACAACTCTACTTTTTGAGCTAAACTCATCACTCTGTTCTGCCTTTTACTCTTGCTCTCACTTCCTCCACTCACTTGATGCTTCGACCCCCCAAAAAATACCACAAATAAGGCAAATATGGTACAAAATTATAGAAAGGCAACAGCACTTGAAGAGTAAAAGCTTCAGTATGTGGATGGCGGCACACGGCCACAATCCATTACTGGTACTGCGCAAGTATTGCACCCCTCCCCATGATCCAATGTTGCCGAATCGCGAATAGTTGCAGGAAAATTCCGAAAGTTAAATCATATGTACTGCTGGGTGGATAGAAGCGGGGGGAATTTAACAAACGTTATCATTTTTTATTTAAAGCCTTCGTGACTGCAGGGATTCATATTCTTGGTTCTTTCAGTAAAGTCACCTGATGATGATTGCTTGTGTTGCAGTCGAAACGTCGTGAGAATTTTATTGTTTGATATTTTTTATTATTTTATTGTTTCCCTTCTACGTGACTTTACTGAAAGAACCAAGAATGAAACTTTATCATTGTTCAACTGCCACACTGGGAGATTGCACTGGAGACCTCTCTGGATTAGCGAGTTCAGTGTGCTAGCTTTTATACCACAGCAACACACTTAACTGATATTAAATGTGATTTCCATGTTATTCTTGATCATGGCGGTCACCTGCAAAAAAATTATATTTGCCTAACTTAATTAACAATAACACTCTGACCTGCCTCACAGGCATCTGTAAAAGACTATCTTTATATTAGGGTATTTGTGAAATATGTTTGGTGTTGCAGAAATTAATTCAGATACCATATTTCAACGTATAAAGTAAATTGTGTTTCTTTTGCAGAATTCATCTCGGAATGCAACTGAAGACGATGACTCTGACAACAAAATAAATTTTACTGGACACACAAATGTGGCTGCTAAAAATGATCATGACACCTACTATTAGACTAAGGTGCTGTGTAATCTGTAGTTTCCATGGCTCTCAATTATTACATGAAAGTTACGAGTAAAAGGACCTCCATCTAAGTACAGTAACACCCCGATTTACGCCCTCCTGCTTTATGTACTTTTCTTATAACGTACTCAAATAATTGATACCCAATATAATTTTACGTACTGTGTATCTCGCGACAACATACTCGAGATTTATTAACTTAACCATTTATCCCCAAATTGTTTACGTGCCAGATGGCACCAAAGTGTTAGCATCTCTGACTGCTGTAGTCTATTTCATGTGTACTCTATTAATATTTTTTCCCCACATATTTATGGCAACTATTTCTATACTAGCTTTTTTGCCCGTCCTAGGACGGGTGCATATTGCAGTAAATCGTAAATATTCAATAGAAAAATTGTTCAGCTCATGATTATTAATGAGGGGGAGGGGAGTTGCCCCATGTGGAGTAACGTCACCCGCTAATGGTTATTGGGGAGGGGTGCGGCATGTGGAGTGCGCGACCTTATGCGTTAGTGTAAATTTCCACGTGGGCATGAATATTAATTAGGGGGGGGCTCTTTTGCAGTGACGTCACACACGGATGTAGCACTGCTGCGTAGATTTATTTTTACCGTCACTTTATGTAAACAAAAAGTCATATTTGAAGCGACTGTGTAATAAATTATTTAATTCGGCTCGACCTTCCTCTGCGTTAGTGTAAAAATCCACCCACTCGTGAATATTAATGAGGGGGGTGGGCCTCATGTGGAGTGATGTCACGCGCGGGACGGACAGACATTTCTGGGTGATTATAGAAGGAAAAGAAACTAATATACGTAATATAAAAGACAAGGTCAAATATCTTAAAATATCAATAATATACACGTAATTTTTAGACGATGGTTGTATGCGCAATATGTTACTGGGCATCCTTTGTTTAGGAACTGAGGCCTCTGTTTAGGTACTGTACCACGTTACGACCAACCAAAAATGCTTAGATTTAAGTACTTTCGATTTACATTCTGGCTTTCAGGAATACATCCTGAGCGTAAACCTGGGTATGTCTGTACTTGGATGTTACATGGACCACAGCAGACACTACATAAATGTAGAAAGTCATTATAACTTATCGTAGGAATGAGATTACTTTATTGGAGCCGAATGGAATAATAATTCTGGATTGCGATTTGTCCCATTCATAATTTAGTGTTGCAGAAAATTCAGTTCATCAGAATTCCTCAAAATCTATTCTGCTTGTCACCCATTTACAACTTTTCATGTTCACCTATATCGCTTACAAATAAAGTTGTTGCTATATGTCGCATGTATGTTGATTTAAAAAAAACATTGATTTACTGTTCGAATGAGCACATTGATTTACTGTTCAAATGAGCATTGAGGCTGTGCTTATTTTCATTTTAAAGCCTTGAATCATCAATTAAAATTTCTTACACCTATGTTAGAGGTCAGTCTATCCATAAGACAACCACTGTTGACTATCCCACGAATAGGTACTATTATTGTACCAGGTTTTTAACTTGCTTCCTTCAGATTGCGAGCTGCTCGCTTTACCATTGAACCACCAGGATTGGTAAAAATTAACCCCGATGCTTGGTAAACATATAATAATGTACGAGGGTCGCCCAGAAAGTAATGCCCCACTAGCAAGGAATACATGCCCTCGTTTCTCGATGGCGTAAAACCATTGAGGTGGAAAGGGATCATGTGGAAAAGTAATGTGCATGTAATTACTAAATCTGCCAATTCTATTCGTAGTTTTCACTTTTCAATACATTTTGGTTGAAAAAAAGAAAGTGGGGCATTACCTTTTGGGCGACACTCATACTGTGAAGTATGGGAGTATAAGGAATTCAATTTTGAGAACATCTGTAGATAGCTAATAAAATACCAGAATACGTTTATAACTCAATGATTCCAAACACGAAAACACACAGCATCATGATACTCCTGGGACCACCAGATGATGATAGTGCTGGTAACAAGCTCTATAAAGTGTAATATTGTAGTGAAACGTAAAGAATTAGTGTCTATTATTGAAAAGCTCATATACTGTGTAGTACTCTATTGGACATTGAATGCACATGACTATACACATTTTATGAATCACTGGCATGTGTAAGAATAAATGCAAGTGATAGTATTTTTATTTCATAATTTTGAACAAATGTATAGTTTGTAAGTAATCTTCTCCATTGTGCATGTTAATTGCTAAAATCTGACATCAAGGAAAGAGAAGGAAAATGACCAAGAGCCACGAAACAATATACAATAGACTCGATTATCTGCGTGTCGTTTATCCAATTTGCGGATTAACCGCGCACCTGAGATTTTGCCATGCATTAATAACTCATGGTTTCCCCTTAAGGCCAAATTAATATCTAAAAACAGTTATGCACTGTTATTCTTGGAAATGTTTATTAAAAGTCACGTGCTTAAACTGATATATGTGCTCCGATTAATCCGAATTCCACGTGATCACCCCTACAGTACAGTAGTTGCATATCTTTACAATAGTAGGCGGGGTTTGATTTTAATTGCCGTGGCTCTGCTATTTTCCACTTATTGGGCAGAGTCTTCTGCGGGGGAGCAGGAAAGTATCATCAATGAGCACGTGCATCTATTGGTCGATCATTGGTATTGATAAAAAAAATCTAAAGAGTAACGATCAAAATCGTCAGCTGTGCTTCATTTTGAGTGATTTATCCAATCATTTTGTGAGTTTTAATTAACAAAACTGTGCGATGGACTTGCGTAATAAAACCAGGTCAATACATTCTTTACTGGAAATGTTTGTTTTGTTCATTAGCAAACAATTTTTTTACTTAAACATAATTATACCTATATTAGTTGTGTTTGGCGACCTTCCTCCCCATCATTAGCGCAGATAATCGAGTTGACTGTATTACGATTTACATGATGAATAACCCGTTTTTTCAAGTCACTGGTGATTGAGGACCTGCTTACGCGATGCAGGTCATGGGGGTCATTTGACCATAGTCTGTTCTCCGATAACGCGGTAGTTGGTTAAAGCATACGCATCTCATGATAACACGTGAGATGTGTATGCAGGCTGAACAAAGACTGAGGCGCATGGGTAGCATCTCGATGCATCCAGCAGCATCCCGCCTATATGATGTTATGTCGAATCAGCCATACAATCGCTTATTCCTACTCGCGCAAAGTAGTTTTGTTCACTCATTCACGTTATATGCAATTCGCGTCCGCGTTATAAAAAATGTGTTGCCTAATAGATTACTCGCGTTATATCCAATTTGCGTTATGAAAACACCACACATTGTAGAACAGATTGTACTTCACCTTGGTGTGTGCAGGTTTGTGAGGGCGGGAAGGATACGTGGGAGCATGGATGACTGCTGCTACTTAATCAAAAACCACATAGCATAGCCACATACAGAATATGGTAATATGCAAAACGTGCTTCAACTAGTGCAACATGGTTACTGTATGTAACTGTCAAATGGGATATATAAAGTGTACTGACTTACGTGTTGTAAATTCATTCATTTAAAAAAATGTAAAGTAATGCTTTGGAGATGTTTTTCCAAAAGTCTGAATGGTATCGATGACTTCGGTCGCCAACCTCGACGTTTTGGCGGAACGCTCTCATACCCTATTGGCTAGCTTGGTCCAGCTGTCACGGCATCTACATTTAAATGCGAGCTTCGACTCGCGATTGGCTGCCGGCGAGCGCACGCCAGAATGCTGGGTCGTGATTGGTGCAACGATTTGAGTAACTTGTGTTGGATTGGCTTCAGGTTCCAGAAGCGGGGGGTGGGGGTTGTTCGCTCTTGAGTGGTTCCTCGGTTAACGATATTAATTGGTTCCCCGAAAACCATCGTTGATTGAAGTTGTCGTGAATGTTCATAGGAAATACATTTTAAAGGCTTGATCTGTTCCTAGACGATCAGAAGTTGACTTTTTTTCACCCTAAAAACATCGTTTATAATATTTAAACACGCATTTTTTCAATAAACGTTAAAATAACAAATGAAAGCATTAATATGAATACAAACATGGATAAATAATTAATAAAGAGCATAAAAGGTGCATAAATAGAACATAAAAAATACTTACATTAGGCTAAGGGGCCGTCCATAATTGACGTCACGCACCTAGGGGGGGCGGGATCAGATATTTGTGACGATGTGTGACGAGGGAGGGGGGGGTCATAAATGTGACGTCACATCAAAATGCGCAACTTTAAATATAGACAACACGTTCTACTTAATTTAATACTTTTAAATAAATGTTTTCTCCTACAACATCAGAGTGCAGCGCCACATTAAATACGCACTACAATGACAATAGTTTAAAGCTATTTGAAGCATGTTTTATTTTGGGGGGGGGCAGAGCTTTGTGACGTCATATTTGAGGGGGTGGTCTGACTTTTGTGACAAAGGGGGGGGGGGGGGTCAAAAAATCGTCCAAAATAGCGTGACGTCATTTATGGACGGCCCCTAAGAAGATGGATGGCTTAAGGGATTGATGGAGAAGTTGGGGTAGGAGAAAACAAATTCCTCACTTTCTTGGCTGCACATTAATTTTAGGGCCCATTGTTATTGATCTTATATAACTTTTAAGTCAATAAAACACTTAAGTATTCAAAAAGGCTGTATCCATAAGCGGCGCACATCAAACATTGATAATTAATCTAGGCAGTTTCTCTCAAAACGCTCATTAAAGGGCGTCGCTGATTGGCTGAGGTCTGCTGAGTCCCCTTAAGAGCGCTTGTTAATAGAAACAATGGGACCCTATGGGAGGTGGATCGTTAATCAAAATATCGTTAATCGATGGCATCGTAAACCGAGAAAACCACTGTATAAGGGCTTGAGGACGAAATATATGGGGCTCACTCGGCACGGCACTCGCTATATGATGTGTTGTCGAAAATTAACTGTCCCCAGCTAACTACGTGGTGAGAAATATGTTTTACCTGCAAAAAGCGAATCACACCAATTTACCTGTTAAAAAACTTTCCATTGGTAATATCTGAAAGTCCTCTTTTCCGCTAGGTCGGCTCGGCCTCCATGAGTACCTGATAAGCTGTGTAAACTTTGCCACTTGGGAGACAAAAGGGGGCCAGGTGTGATACTGGACACCAACCTTCTCGTGTACCTTCATCGGGGTTCACTAACAGCACTTGCCCCAACAGCCTGCGTGTGTTTGTAAGAGTGGGGGGTGTGTGGACATGAGTAATGGACTTAAGGCTGGCCCCTACCACCCTTGCTTTCTCATGGAAATGTGCAACATCCACTTGCATAAATCCTGGAGTGAATTTTAAAGAGTTGCTTCAGCCGTTTGGTATTTCGGCCCCAGATCTCAATGCCGATTTCAAATTGAACCAGGTGGCAGCTGAAGGAATAGACGTGCCTGTCCAAAATACACAGTATTGTGGTAGACAACTCAAGAAAAATCGCAGCACGAATACAATCCTTGAATACATTTGTAGTAAGTATTCAGGAGGCTTTGACGACGGGGTCGGAGGCACACTTATTTATTAACACCAACTTGTGCACAGTAACGGGTACACACAGTACTTAAAGGGGTATCGTCCCCTTCACTCGTCTAACAGGGAGACACAACATCTAACCCCGCTAACCTACGCCCGAGTCCTCCACTACGGAGCTAGGGGAGGCTACCTATCCCAGCCCTGGTCAAGCTGGGATCCCGGCACCCTGAGTCTCCAGACCGGCTCTTATAAGAACGTCAGTCTGGGCTCTCGGGGCCACGCCACCGGCTTGCCCTGGTCGGCCCTGACAAGGACAGCGAGCCAGGGGAGCTCCGGTGCCTATTCTAGCTGGTCTTCAGTCTTCGCTGGTTTAAGCTAATACTCGACCTCGAGCCCTCCGGCTCACCACCTTTTATAGTACTCGGCCCCCGGGAGGGGCCCGTGGGGGATGCAGGTGCGGACGTCGGTGTGAGCACCTCCTCTGTGTACGGCCCTAACCACGCCCCTTGTGTTTGTTAGCCATCCGTGCCCATACACAATTACACCTCTACACATTCATAAAGGAACTCTACACAACTCCACGCAATGGCGGTCATCACACACGAAGGAAGCGACTTATTCTTGTATATCGTTGTGATTGAATAGCAACGAATGTACACATGAATTATTTAGCCACGAGCTTCTGGTAATTCTGACCAAAGACCTTTTTCTGCATCGAAACATGTAAAGGCGCAAGTCTCAATGGTGGTCTTCCACTCTTGTTTGGCAGCCACACTCGCAGCTGCGCGGTTTTCTTTCATCGGTGTCGGTCAGAAGGTCAAATCTGTAATAAAATCCCATCAAACAACACGCAAAGATGTGCAAAGAGCAGTCACTGCGCGTATGCAAACACGACCATGAGCGTTGTTTGACCAGACTCCACGTTGGTCAGTGGCGGGTAGATGCACTGTCTCGGGTGGGGGGGGGGGGCAGAGCCGGCGCAGCCACTTAGCGACCCTTGCAATTGCAAAGGGCCCCGTGGCCAGCAGAGGGCCCCCTAGAGTCACTGCGAGCTAGTGGGTGAAAAAAAATCATACATCAAAGGGGCCTCCAACCAAATTTTGCTTAGGGCCCCCAAAGGTCTAGGGCCGGTTCTGGGGGGGGGGGGGGGGGGGGGGTCCAGGACGTGTTTAGATACCGCTCTCCACTGATGTTATAGCCATAGCCAGAAGTGCAACTCATCACTGGGATGCCTGCGCATATCCCTCCTCTGCGTCACGGCCGTCGCACCCATCGCAATGCAACGTAACACTGCACCGTACAGCCGAGTTGTGCTGTGGTTGGAATTCGATTGAAAACGACTCTACCGTTAGACTCACGATCTTTCCGGGGGCAATACAATTCGTACAGTCGGTGGTGGCTCCCCAAAGAAAATATTTGACCCGGACATAACAATGTGGAATTGACATTGTGAAAATGGGTTCTGGGTGATCAATGGCGATGGACAACCACCTCATAAGTCATTTTAATTTTAGCCGATAAACACTTTGACAGTTTGTCTGACAGTCGAGTGCAATAGCAGATGTGAGGGAATGTTTAAAATGTGCGGGACAAGGTTATACAGGAGTTCTCAATAAAACCTGTAGCTCCGAAACAGTGTTGAGATCAATTTCACAGATCAGCAATCACACGCCATTTCAACATTTCACACGGAATATATCAAATGTGTACCGCCTTATTTGCAAGTGGAGTGCATATTTTATTGAAAGACGACATACTGTCCAGTAAACTCTACCTTTGCACCGCTCAAGTCATATAACCATTCCACACACGTTTGTCAGCAACATTTTGTATCCGTAAAAACCCTATAACGTTTAACTCTAAATTATAAACTAAATAGCACCCTACTACTGTTGCACATTAAACACGCTGACGCATCGCTTCATATGGTCTCATTCCACGGCACACGAGCTCCTTTGTACTGACGTCTGGGAGACGTAGACAACGTGTCTCTCACTCATCCAGTAAATTCTGGGTCAACGTTGAGCCAACGTTGGCATGTGGTTGGAACCGTTTGACCAATGAATTGTTCAGCGTTCCAACGTTTCCTGTCGTTTGCTGTCCATCCAAAAGGGATTGAGAGATATACATCTCCATTGTTTCTGTTTTCTGCTCTTCTGAAGCATTTTGAGACCGCTCGATTGTTAGATGTTATCAACCATTCGCAGTTTTTGCACATCCCTTTGGTAAATCCAATTAAATATGTTCTGCTTTGGCTGCCATTGCATTGATAATTTTATAATTGGCTTCCAAACAATCTCGCCACA